TGATAGACACAATTATTCCTCATCATCAAATTCTGAACAACCTGAATCTTCATTTAGTTACTTATTTTTACTACTTGTTTATCGTTCTACTTTTGTCTACTCATATGTTGATGAATTATTGAAATGTGGCATTCTTAACAGATGGTTTAATGTGCGAATTTATAGGTTTATCAGTAGTATGTGGGAATATGCAACCATGTAGTACTGAATCGATCTTAATTCTCCAATTTCATTTTTTTTAAACAACAATGTTGTCACTGACATATGTTCTTTAACATTTATGGATACAGATATCTATAAAACACAACATAATCGAGCAAAGAATATTCTTTTCGATAAATTCCTCTTCTGGCTCTACAATTATATACATGTTTATATACACACAATATTCAAGGTTGGTAGTTAATAACAATATTAGTGTTTTTTAAATAATATCGATTTGTAAAGCAAGATCAATGCAATTACAGTTCACTAAAAATACTTAAATTATATTAGTAATAATTGGCCATCTAGGTTTGAATGATTCTCAATTTTCGTGAAAATTTCCTAATTTTAGGTGATATTCTACTCGCTATTATATCTTTATTACTATTATAATTTAAGTATTTTTGGTGAACTGTAATTGCATTGATCTTGCTTTACAAATCGATATTATTTAAAAAACACTAATATTGTTATTAATTACCAACCTTGAATATTGTGTGTATATAAACATGTATATAATTGTAGAGCCAGAAGAGGAATTTATCAAAAAGAATATTCTTTGCTCGATTATGTTGTGTTTTATTATGGATACGTAACTGTAGAGTCTAAAAGAAAACTAGTGGAGAAAGAATTCTTTATTCACCAATCAGTGTTTTGAGATTTATGGTGGATAGCTTTAATCCGAAATGCAGTGACGAATAATGGTGGGAATCTCTCCACACAAGACGAATTCCGAAGTTTAGGAAGCATGTCGAGCGAACACGTGTATTTAAGAGTTAAATAGAAAGGAAAACAGCGTCTGGTTGTAGATATTTTCACAGCACTCTCAGACTTTCAAGTCAACAAACAACGGTACATTTCGAAACTTCCTAGGAATGCGCAACTTTATTGCGGGTAACACAAAAGAGGCAATTTTCTCAAGTATCGGAAGCATAGACTATGTACGTGTAACAAAATGCAACATTTCTTGTTTTACTCGCCTCACTAATACCCCTTACATAGGTTTTTCAATTTGCGAATTCCTCCTTTGTATATCACTGATACTGAAATCAAATGACAATCTTACCATGTGTCCTAAAATTATATTTTTTGTTGGTTTTCTACACGGTTGAATTTATAGTGCCGTTCTGATTTACTTTATCAATCTCTAAAGCTGCTCACAATTTCCGTCGGGAGTAGCAGTTTGAAGAGTCATTGAATAGGATCCATCACAACAACAGTGTAGTGTTGACACGAGACGGAATGTAATTTACGGATTCACATGAAAAATATTATGCAATTGACTTATGAACACAGTATGTTTGACAATTCTAAATTAAGAAAATCACAGTTCACGTCGTTAAGATGATCGTCGAAATCAACAATTTTCCGATGTACTTTCAAGTTGAGGATTTCTTCCAGCTTCCTGTCGACAGTTGGATTGAATGTATACCTAACCGTATAAAAGAAACTTTTTGGGGTTTAACTTACTTTATTTCGGTCCACTTCCAATCACACTTACAGTATGATGAAAAATAGTTGCCATCCAGTCGATGTAATGCATCGTTCCTGAACTGTTTTTATTTAACATTTTTGTCACGATAATCTAATAGTTCGACTTACAGTTAGTAAACATATATTGCCACATTTTTCTGCTATTTTCTCGCCTATTTTCATCGCAGTACTTGTTGGCCTGTTATTAAGTTTTAAAATAGTCGGAAACAAATTACGTGTTGCAATTGATATGTTCGTTCGCTTGAAAATAGCCACATATACGAAGACCTTTAAGTGCACAGTATAAGTCTACCTGTCACTGAATTATAAACTGTAAGGTTGACTCACATGATACAAGGCTGTTTCCAGCATGGGTGCCAAATTTAGAACGGTATGAAACAGAGGGATGTAGTCAGTGATTGTTATTTCAGAGTCGTGGTTGCAGTCACTTAAAAGAAGGCCGCTGACAGGACTTTCTGGATGTTTCGCAGCATGCAAAATCATTTTCAGGAAAGGAAGTTTATCAATATGCACCGTTTCCGTTGTTTTCATGTTAAGCTAAAAATAAAATTTTGACAGGCTTATAGAGATTAAATACTGTAAACAACAAATTGACTAGTAATAATAATAATAATAGAGTTGCTTGATCATCTTTGACTTGCTGGCCTCCACAAAAAACTGTGTTAGTAGCTATTTTGCAGCAATGTTTGGATTGGAAACAGGACTGCTGAATTCCTGAGATTTGTACATCAAAGTTGTTGGCCAGGCTTCACCAAACGAAGCCCAGACAATGGGAAGAAATGATTCAACCCACGCAAGTGAATGGATGCATACAGTAAGACTCAACCACCATCCACTGCAATCACCACACCGAGCTTCCTGGAAATCACGCTTGTCTTCAATGAACTTCCCTGGACCTCGGTGATGGAGATAAACAAATTGGTCGCTGAAAATGAGTTTTTAAAGTGGCATACTACCAAGCACAAAATGTGATAGTGCTCCTTCGACAAAATTCGAGTGATTTTCACATTTTCTGGGTTTTTATTGAAGTTTATTGAACCTGCTGAATGTAGAGGAGTTGAAAACAGTTAAGTTTTACACGCATCTCAGTTTTTCAATGCGAATTCTCAGCAGCCATCACCTGATCACCAGCAATAAAGCTCAAATGATCAGATTTAGCTCATATAAGCTCGTGGTAACTCGACCTATCATCCCATGGTCCATCCCAAACGGTTGAAAGCACGACTTTCCATGGATAAACTGGGAGATTCGTGAAATACTAGTGTGTGAATACAAATGTTGGATCATGTTTATCACATTTGGGGCTTCAGAGCTTGGGGAACTGTATACTTTAGCCAGAAACAAAGCTGTTCTACGTATTCGTCACCCAAGGGCGAAATCCAAAGGTATCTAGTGAAAAACGCGGAGTCACAACCCGAGGAGTTATGGTGATATGTCAATATTCGGAAAGAGATGTCTAATGTGTTTTTTAATTCGACTCCTACTTTGAAGGCCAGCGAAGGGAGCAGAAATTATTCAGAAGCAGCTGGGGACCTCTTATTTTTTAAATGCCACTGGAATAGTTAGAGTTAAGTGGAACAGATCCGATCGACGTCGGTGGCAACATTAGACTCCTATAGTGAGTGAGACTGAACAGTGATATCGCAGGACACTACGTGTTCAGCGTTCACATAATCACTTCACTGGCCGTAATTTTCGGTCTATATCCATGAAATTATTTGTGACTGCATGACTGGAAAGATAGCATACAAACCCTCGATCGTACGGTGGGAACCAATCTCTCCCATCCAAAATATAGACATATTTTTCTTACATTTACCTTTAGCAAAATATATAAAACCAGGTTAATGACAAGAACTAACGAGATGTAATGACGTGATTCTATCAGTTTCATCAAGAACATCGATTTTATACTCAAGATAGCTAAGATGGTGTATTCGCAAACCAACATTTGTTTGTCAGGATCCCATCGCAGCCTTTAAGGGAAACTTTCCATCCAGGACAATCTTTCTTACGGTGAAGAGAAGCTGGGTCAATCCAGGGACAAAAAGAAGCATTTCGTAGATTCCAGCATAACATTTCTCGGAAGCTAGTCACGCCCTTTGGTAACAGAGAAGATCTTTTTTTGTTTGGTAGATACAACATTTTTGTTGTTTGGTCATCGACCATGCTAGACCTGCGCTTCTTTTACAGTAACTACTGTCCATATATCCTAGCCGATCTGACTTGGCGGCCATGTTTCTGTCATCACCCCCCTTAATACGTAAGGAAGGAAATCAAAAAGTATGACTGATTAAGCATGCCTGCGATGGCACAGCCGTTAGGACGCTCGCCGAACATGTACATGGTCCGGAGTTCGATCTCCTGCAGACACAAATCTGATATTAGCCGTCAGCCTGGTAAATTTGGGCTACCGATATCACATGTTGAAAATTCCATAGTTTTACCAAAATACTGTGTGGAATCAAGCTATAGAAAAAAATAAAAGAAGATATGGGGAAAAGTAGTCACACTACAACTCAGTAACCCGGCTTCTGCACTTTGGAAACGCAAGCGTTTGAATGATGTTTTATTCGGCAGAGATAAAGTAACAAGTCGTTTAGTGTGAAGTGATTGAGGTTCAGTTGAGCTGGCGAGTTTCCTTGACCCCACATACTTTCAATAATGCGCTTCACACAAAACCGATTATTAAAAAAGAAATTCTTGTAAGCAGTGACGGATTGCCTAACTGGAGAAGTGAATTCTCCATAAACAGGGAACAGACAGTCAAGGCTAACTCAGAAATCTCCTGCTGAGCAACAAGACAGAGAGCACTGTTGTCAATCACGTCTCATAAACCGTTTATGCCCAGCTCTCGCTACGCTCGGGCTCACGCTGTTCCTTGAAGATTTCAGAAACGCTTAGTAATAACGGACGAAAAAACCAATACACCGATCTGCCGCTTGATATCTCTTTATTGTTACACCAACATATAAAAAGAATAAGTGAACTAAGGTCTGAAAACAAATATTACAATAATAAATCATTGTATTACTTCTGACGATGTTTCACTCTTCTTTCTGAACAGCGACCGATGAGACGATGACTGTCGTATTGATGCCTCCGCGAAAATTGGGGAAGTTGATTTTAAGCAAACAACCGTGAATTGATCGTTCAATCTTCAACTCCATTGACAACTGTTTTGAATCTCACGTCCTTATCATTTTCTAGGCAGAGAGAGATCGTCACTATGTTCGAAACTGTTAAGAGTGAATTTGGAAATAATTCCATCAGGTCTTCACACTTGAGAAAGAATTGCGGGAGAGGAAATAACCAGGTATCAACTACATCACCGTGGAGTACTGGTTGTTTCAGGTAACCATAATCTTACAGAACCGACTACTAGAATTTTTGCCTACGCTCTGAATTAACTAACTTAGGAAAAGGTCAGACACGCAAAGACTCTTAGTAGAAGGAATTTGACACAGATTTCTCTCCTCTTTACATGAATTAAACAGCTTGTATCGGAAATCTTAAAGTTCATCAGATATTGGATGTGATATCACTTGACCTTGGGGACAGTTTAAAACGTTTTCCCACGTTTGGTACGTTCGGTGTGATTGGTTTTTTAATTAAATCCCATCCTCTGGAATTATCACGATTCGTCTTTTTTATAACTTGATTTGGCCTGACATTTTCACGTTGAAAATAAACGGCAAATATGTCATTACAATTGCTTTTGTATAAAATTTGTTTACCGAAGATCAGGAACCTATACCTTACAATCAAGAAGCGAGCACAAGGAAATCAAAGTGGTTTATACTAGCTCGTAAAAATGATATTGGATATTGGACATCCCTCAGTCAGTCATCACCCAAGCTTACTATAATGCTGAAGTAAATCTCACTGATTCTGAAATAATTCTAACAACTTATAGTGAGTAAATTGTATGTTCTGAGATGGATTCTTTAATGGCATAGACTAGAACTCAGTGCTGGCACTAATTCAGCACCATGTTCTTTTTCTAGCCATTTTCATGAGTAAACCAGAACCTACTAGGTTTGCTTATCAGCGTTGTTCGACCACTCACGAGACATATTGAACATGGACTAGCGTTACTTCAGAACGAAAAGACTTTATAAAGCACCCAGCTATCTTTTTAAGCACGACCAGGGTTATTTCAGAGCATAGTGGGTACATAAAATCTCCATTTACCTTAAAAAGGCATTGTCAAAGAATAGGTTAGAATAAGTTTGTAATTGTTATAAGCTTGGGTAAGACAATCACCAGTTTTGGTAAGGTGTTATCTAAATGTTTTGATAAGTCCTGGGAGTTGTAGCTAAAGTATTCCCGGAGAATTCAGATTTCGGATTACTATGAGGTGCAAACGCACCAGTGATCCTGAACGCTCAGTCAGAGCAAGGCAATTAAACAAGGCAAGTAACACTGTATGCCTAAAGAGTTTACTTTATGAATTTTATTAATATTTCAGAGGATATCGACCTAGTTTTAGGTTACAGAGATGTAGGTAAGCTTTATGTTAGCTCAACTAGGCAAATTTTAAGAGTTGGTTAAGGCCAAATAGTTGGACGCCAGGTCCTTGAGTCTGTCTGTCTGTTTTCGACATAGAACTTTGCACAAATGTGCGGAAGTTCAAGTCGCCACATTCCGTGTAGCACGCGAAGCAAGAGAAGAAAGTACAAGAAAAGCATAATAGAAACAGTGAGCAGAGGTGTGAGACAAAGGAGTAATAAAGAAGAACAAAACAGTTTCATTGGAGATCATAAGTCACAGGGAGTGGATGCATCTGCGCCACTGAGAACGATTTTGAGCCATGTCACCAATTGTTTCCAACCATAGATTTTTACCGTCCCGAGGACCCCAGCCTGGAAGTCTACACCTTCCTACGTGGCTTAGACCAACTGTTGTGGATTTCATTGACTGATGCCAAGTTTTTGTTTGACCGCCGCTAGCTTTTTTCCAGCCTGACCCTATATCCGCTAACATTGCTCGTCGAGGGAGGCGATGGCTTGGCATACGTAACACATGTCCTAACCATCTCAGTCTTTGTAGCTTCACGACTTCGTCGATTGATTTCCCCTGTTTACCTAGAACTCTACGCCTAACCTCCATGTTGCTCACCTTATTATGCCACTTTACACGGGAAATAGAACGCAGGCACCTATGATCAAAGACAGCTAGTCTTTTCATGTCTTCCACTCTCAGTGGCCAGGTCTCACAACCATAAAGGAGGACGGAGCGGACTGATGAGCAGTACACCCGCCCTTTGGTCGATAGTCGAACATCTCGTCTACGCCAGAGTCGGCGTAAACTAACAAATGCGAAACGAGCCCCTTGTATTCGTGCTGAGATTTCGTCAGAGATCAGCCCGTTGGGGCTGATGGTACTTCCCAAATAAGTGAAGCGGTCAACGTGCTCTACCACTTCACTTCCTATTTTTAAACTAGGCGTCGATGTAGTCCAGTCCTGTAACATCATCTTGCATTTGGCGGGAGCGAATCGCATGCCAAACATTCGTAGATTGCGGCTCAAGGTGTTTAGAAGACTCTGCATTTCGTCAGCGTCTTCGCCTAGAAGGACTATATCGTCTGCATATTCCAAGTCAACGAGATTATTCCCGGTAGCAAGTCAATCCCTGAGTCGCTGAAGTCACCTAGGGTTAAGTCCATTAACACATCTATGATGAAGTTGAATAGAAAAGGAGATAATGGGCATCCTTGACGGACACCACTGGTCGTCATCAGTTCAGATGACAGCTCGCCGTAAGCCCTCACCTGGCTGTATGAGTACGAGTAGAGTGCCTTAATCAGTGCAATATATTTTCTCGGAATTCCCTTTACAGCCAAGCATCTCCAGAGAACTTCCCGATCGACAGAGTCGAATGCTGCCTTTAGGTCAAGAAATATAATGACTGTTGGACGCCGGTAGGAATGCCTATGTTCTAGAATCTGTCGGAGGGTGAAGATATGATCAATACACCCTCTTCCTGGTCTAAAGCCTGCCTGGCTCTCTCGTGTTTGTGCTTCCCGAGCACCACTCAGTCTACGCATGATTATTGAGCCTAAGACTTTAGATACTATATTAGTCAAGCTAATCCCTCTGTGATTATCACAGGAAGACTTGTCTCCCTTCTTGTATATGGGGATAATCAGTGACTTACACCAACCCGATGGGACTTCTTCTGATTCCCAGACGCTGCCTAGTACCTCAGTTAATCCGGACAGTAAGCTGTCTCCACCGTACTTAAATACCTCTGGAGTCATTCCATCAGGTCCCGCTGCTTTGCCTAGTTTCAGATTGGTGACAGCTTTAGTAACCTCAGTTAGTGACGGAGGACCTGTGTCTATATCCCATTCAGGGAGGTGTTGGATGCTCGGAAGGTTGAGCGTGGCTGTGGGCAAATTAAACTGCTCCTCATAATGCTCTTTCCAACGATCCAGTCGTCTATCCTGGGAGCTAATTATAGTGCCATTTTTTTCCGAGATTGTCTCACTAATGATTTGTCTTCTCCCACCCGTTTCCCTGATGAGTCCAAAGAGTTGCCTGGTGTTGCCTATCCTCGAAGCTTTCTCCATCTCTTTGGCTTTTGTCGCCCACCACTGTTCACGGTCCTTGCGGAGACTTTTCGTAAGTTTCCTCTTGTGCAGCTTTCGCTCCTCATTGAATTCGGAGCTCGCCGGAATAAGTCTTCTAGCATCTATCAGTTCGGATGAGGCGGTGGAGATCCAGTGGTTTTTACTCACCTTTGGGTTTACCTTATTCACAGCTTTTACAGCTGTATCTATGGCTGCCTGGATATTTTTCCAAGCTTCTTCAGGGTGAGCACAGCTGTCGAACACAGATATGTGTTTAGCTAGTTCTTCCTCAAATACGGATTTAGTTTCCTGATCGAGCTGGGGACGTGATGGTTTTACCGCCAGCTGTTTCCTACGTCCGTTCAGTCGTAAGCACACCCGAGCGCGGACCAGTGCATGGTCGGTATCTACGCACGTGTTCCAGAAGGAGCGACAATCTCCTACCGACCCACGCCAACGATAGCTTATTGCTATGTGGTCTATTTGTGTCCAGCGTTGGTTTGATGAAGGGGGTCTCCAAGTCAAACAGTGTCTCTCCTTGTGTTTGAAGTTAGTGCTTACAAGAAACAAATGATTATCAGAGCAGAACTGTAGGAGACGGTCACCGTTGTCGGTTCGCTGGCACGGAACTCCATAGGTGCCACCGACATCCTTCTCAGATTGACACAATTTCCCTACTTGAGCGTTAAAGTCACCAGCTAGAACGACTATGTCTGAGCGTTTAGCCTTTCGCACCAAACTAGACAGCTTTTGGTAGAACTCATCCTTCGTTTCATCTGAACTGCAGTCAGTGGGGGCGTAGGCGGAGATTACGAAAAGGCATCGGCGAGTAGTGCAGTCCTTCCTCCTTCTTACTGATCCGTTCAGGCGGACAGCACACATTCGGCTATCTACCGGGATCCAGTCAAGCAATGTCTTTTCTGCCCTAGTACTCAAAGCTATCCCTACGCCAGCTAATCCTCGTGAACTAGCTGTGGCATCTCCTGACACCCTCAAGGTGAATTTTGCAGATTCAACCTGTTGGCCAGGTGGGGTTAGGTGAATAACCACACTTGGGTCTTGTATGCGTGTTTCTGAAACACAGCATACATCAATGGCTCGTGATGCCAGGGTCTTGGCTAGTGATGCTTGTTGTCCTATTTGGCAAAGTGTCCTAACATTAAGAGCTCCTATATGAAATTGGTGGCGCGGCTTTAAGAGGCTGTCGGTGGTGGTTTTTTGGCTTCCATCGTTTTTAGTGGACGCAGAGTGGAGAGGAAGTGGAGAGCTATCAAGTCGAGGAGTTGCATCAGTGGAAGGAAGGCAAGATGATAGAGATGAAGATGAAGACAAAGATGAGTGAGTAATAGAGAGGTTTCGTGTGCATTTCGGATTGTGAGGGCGATTGTTACTTCCCGGCTGCCCACACCGTGGAAGTTGGTTGCGTGACCGCAGAGCCCAGGGGACAACTGCTTGAGGCCGGTCACACGCGGCCTGTTTTTGTTCGTTCTCTTTTGTTTGGTGTGCCTCAGTAGCATATTTATCACTCCTGCCCTGTGACACGGCAGCAGGAAGCGCGGTCGTTGTTAATCCGGGCCACGGCCGATCCGGCATGAAATTTTGTGATTTTGTATTGGACATGATGTTGGATTGGGTAGCTGCTTTTTGTTTAACCGCTATCCAAACAACCTGCCTGGCATGGTAGGACCTCAAGAGACATAAGTCTCAGCCAGTATAGCTTGAGTAGATCATTGCGGTGTTCAAGCCCGACCACCACGTCAAGGTGGCAGCTTTCGGTCGGGAGGTCCTTGAGTGAAATCCCAATGGCAATCAGCGAGTGGGTCTTTCGCGGGTGATATGGAGGTCGTGCAAGATGAAAGATAACGGGCGGTCGTGGATCCAGCTAAAGAGGACAGCAGAATACAGAACAAAGTGGAGATATGTTGTTGAAGTCCTATGTTCCACTCAGAGTCCAAGGGAATAATAGGAATAATAGATCAGGTTTAGGTTAGACCTTGACTAGGGTTAGG